TCTTTCATTATTTATTGTTAATTATAAAAGATACAACAGATCAGAGATAGAAAAATATTAAAGGTATATTAAAAAAAAACTAACAATAAATTATTTAACGGATATTTCGTAGATTATAAAATGCAAAATACAGGAGAAACTTTATTCCCATGAAAGTACCGTATAAATTGTTCTATTTAAACGAAATAGAAAATGATCATGTCTATTAGATGATTCTATTCATAAAATAATGCGAAGGTGCTGTGATAATATCTGAGAAACTTTCCTTTAACACTTTGAATGCCGTACGATTTCACGTGTATTTCGAAGTACACGAAATAAGAAAAATACGATATCTAATTATTTAACGGTAATTATTTCTGGTACACCTTGTACATAAATACGTTACGGTCTTACAAATATATCCAAGATTCTGTCGACAATTTATTGTATACCGTTCAACGTTAACGTCGACGAGACCCACGAAAACTCCATTACACAAGAATAACGAATAATCATCCGGAGGAAAAGCAATAGTAGGTTACCGAGTAGCCAGTTAGTTGACAATTACAGATGTATCGAGCATTATTCGCTTTGAGGAGGGAAAAAGAAACAAGCACAAGATTGTACAAACCTCGAAAGCATAGCAGAGACAGGATGTAGAGCAGGGATGTCCAACCTATTGGTTTCCTTCTTGAAAGAAGACGGGTTGCTGTGGGCCGCGCATAAATTAACTCCTAAACGATTTTCTACGAACACTTTGCTGAAGAGACTGTCTTAACCCTTTGAACTCTGTAGGCTTCAACATTGCACCGGTTATAATATTAAACATTTTAATGGATCTTAAAGAAACTACCCTAAAATTATTCAATTTTCCACATATCCAAATTTTGTACTGAGAAGGAAAATAAAAGATCGAAGAAATGTTATAGCATTTTTCATTTTCGTTAGGAATACTATAAAAATTAGTTGCAGTTGCTGATAGATTACAAAACAACCTGGAGTGCTAAGGGTTAAACTAACATTTTTTTCCATCAAATACTGAATTACACATCGGAGTTTTAAATACTAAAAAAAAGAAACAAAACCACATGTCAATCTTTCGTTGGTTGAATAATGAAATTATTGATTTGCAGTTTTTGATTTTAAATATTGAAACTCGCAGTGGCCATTGCGGCGACATTCGACCGCAAAGAGTTCACAGCATATTTAACTTGTGTTAGTTGTATGATTAATGGATCTTTTAGTCGCAACCTCATGTTGGACCGCATTCACAACCGTCTTCGGCCGCGGGTTGGACAAGCCTCGCGTAGAGTGTAGCAAATAACGTTTCTCGCGGAAGATTTCGTACAATTCTCGTTCGAGTATGTTGAGTTGAGTCGAATTGAGAATGTGATTGAGACCATAATTTCATCGGTGATATAAATGTGTAGTTACAATCTATTAACTTTACCGTTAACAATTAACCAATATTAAACACGACTCTTTGAAATCCACCAACAACCGTGCCATCGCGATTAGTCCGCGGTCGTTTATGCAAATCCTCGTTTCGCACGATCCGTTCTGTGAAAATCAGAATCAGATTACAATTTACCTGACACGCGCGAGAGGAATATATTTTATCTTTCACTAATTAACAATCGATTCGTTTAATTGCTTCTCGAAGTAACAGTGCGATATACGTATAAGGGAAGAATTGGTAGATGACGATGTCAAGGACATTTAAAGGTCATCAAGTCGTGTAACGAAGTAAGACAATACTTGAGAAATTTGCTAAATGAAAATTGAAGCTTAATTAATTATCTAAATCGATTCGAATGAAAGGGAAATCCTACATTTTACAAATTTTTTAATGGAATTTATATGAATCGTATCTATACTACACACAGTCAAACTATAAAGTTAACAAACGTTTCTAACTTGATCTTATTTTGAATATGTTATCGCGAATAGATTAAGAATCTTATATAATTATTATATACACGGATACGTGGAGCATAATAAGAAAAAATATCTTCGTGAAGAATTTCATGGAATTCTCAATTTATTGAAGTTTCTGGAAGAAGATAGATCTCTGTTTAAAATTCATCTCCGTGAGTTATTGAAAAATTATGTGACCAGCGAAGTATGGCAATCGAACAATAACGGTTGTTCGCAATAAATAGAACAGTAGGGTTGAACGAAATTACAATGACCTTAAAATATCCTTGATTATTGGTTCTAGATTTCCCGTGCATGCGCAATTCCTTCGTTTCGATGCACTTGTTCAAATTACGTTCGTTTATAAGTGAAAAGCAGAACATTTTGTGTCTTTTTTTTTAATTAAATGCACTTCTACGCGTAAATATTTCATAATGGCAATTATATTGAACTTGAACTGACGAAATAAAAAAAAGTGGTTTTGGATTATTACGTGGAACCGCGAAGAACATATTTTACCTTCATCGATAGATTTATCCAGCAAACAGAATGTCATGAACACTTTGAACTAATCGACACATAAACGATGAAAAAGTGGACGCGAATCATTTCATAAATATTTTTTTGAGCGCCATGCGAAGATTTCCATGCTAATGCCATTGTGATACTTTATCCGTTCCGTGGACGACTCATGTATGCGACGAGTGTATCGATCTTTATACATATATTTTTATATTACAATCTTTGTAATCGAACTTAATTAGAATTACTTGGAATCATTTTTATATTGCAATAACATTGTACAATGTGAACGTCTGACCTTAAATTTATTTACAGGTGCTTGAACAGCGATGTGCAAATTATTACGCTCGACTGTGAAAATAAATGTAAGAAATAGGAATTCTATTTATAAATGACATTTTGATTGCTACATCTGAACATTGAACCATGCAATAGAAATTAAACCATGCGAAAATATATACTAAAACGTTTAAGATAATAACTGATAACGCTCGTGAAAATGTCAACCGTTTAACATATTTATCTCATATTTTCTTATTGCTATACTAAACCTGTAACTTCAGAAACATTTATGTAATTAATTAAATGACAAGTTCTTAAAATTTCTTTAAAACTATAGCAACCTTTGAGAAACAGATTGAGTTAATAATTTGCGCATATCTGTAAATGTGTATGCCTTCTACTATGATCTTTAATGTTAAGTTACTGATATGGGGGTACTGATATGCAAATACCATTATCGTCTTATATAAAGATGTAATAGATATCGGTACTCCTTTGTCTGAATTGTATATTTAACACTTACACTTTCTATATTGATAAAATGAATCTTATTCATAGACTGCGGATCTTCGTTTCTTGTAAACTTTTGGCACTTCTACTGAATTCATTAATGAAAGAATTATAATTCTATCCAATCTTTTCGATAAAGCTATTATTTCACTAAAACGTCCGCAGTCTACCTACTTATTTTTCCATCGCGTACAAATGAAATGATTTACATGTTGATCCTCGAGTTTCCATTGAACTTTCTGCATAAGTGATTTAAATCCTGAACTTTATGTGTACGGAAGTCGAACTGTCATCAACGATCAACTTGTTTATCGTTTACACAACACATTCTGTAAAAAAAACATACAAATTGTTTAGTAATAGTTTCAATAAAAAAATATCGATTGGGTGAAAAATTATGACTTCTTGACACTTTCGGGTAACCGTCACTGTTCGAGTCATTAATACTACGAACGTTCACATTAAACGTGTATCTAGTAAAGTATTATGTGCATATTTAACAAATTTAAATTGCGGTGAAATTTCTTTTCTATCTAAGGTACAGTTTTACAGCTTTACATTTATCGTGATAATATATTTTGCAAATAAAAGGAAATATCAATTCGCGCGTTAAATTGGAAAATAGTAAGTACGTTATTTGAATTCAAATAATACGCGCATGCGCGTCTGACGCACTGTGTAACGTGATGATTGATGGTATTATAATTATTTAAAAGCGTGAAAACGCACACTGGCGTGCATTGATTTTGAATTTTAATATTATACAGATCAATGCAACTGCTTTTCTAAAAGTAACAGTTTACAATGATTGTACTTTATATTATTTTTCAATATTAATGATTGTTTTCTGCATACTAATTCTTTATTGCTTAACTGCATCATGTAACACACTGAAACACCTATTATTCCTTCATTCGAATACTTAATTGTTGATATCGTATAAATATACGTTAAGTTGAACTCGAAATTATGAACATAAACCTGAAAAATGTCATGAAAGAAAACATTATGATTCTAATTTGAATTTCGCCCTTATTACAGGCACGTTATAAATATAATCGAAGGATCCTTAAATAAATGCAACTGTATTTACTCTGTGATACGTGTACAGACCGTATACTTGTACATGTTTTGTTGAATATGTCTATACTCAAAATCTATTGTAACGTTGATTGCACTTAAGTAATAAATTCGAACAATAAAAAATGCAAAATATTTCAAATTATAATGAGTACTCGTTTACCTTTATTTCCTAACATTTCTTTCTAATTCTTATTCGTATTCTTTATACATCTTTTATGTTTATTCTTAAACATAAGAAAATGATTTATTGCTTGTTAACTGAACATAGAGGTTAGGAAGAAAATGACAAGTAAAGCATTACAAGGAGTATACAAATTAACATTACTATATAATGTAGTATATAAAATGTAACAGTTAATAATAACAACACTTTTGCTGTTGTTTTCACAAACAACTAAAGCAGCCACTATTTTTTTAAATGTTTAAATTGCAATGAATTCACTGTAACGTGAATATATATTGTATAACATTAATTTCTATAATATCTACGTAGCATTCTAAAACGATTTAGAATTTATTAACGATTCATACTAATTATTCAAACCTATTTAACATAACAAAGTATGTATTATTTTTACATTATTTTACGTTAATTAAATTATTTCCTATACCCTATTATAAAACCATTATTTATTATAATAATTCGATTTTCTAATATTAGAAATGCACTAATTAACAAATTCTTTTGTAATATAATTTCACAGATCCTGACAAAGCTACTTTACAATAATTACAAGTCCATTCAGCATCAAAAATGTCAAAAACATCCTCGATTTCCGAGGAGGGGAGTTCGAGTCATAGCTTAACTTCCAAATGCATTAAAATGGAAATTTCAAACAAGGATAAGCTAGTTGATACATATGAACAGATCTACGAAGATAAGTGTCGAATTTGTTTAAAAAGAGCTGTTGAAATTTGTGAACTATTTCGAAATGGAGACGCTATTCCTCGTAAACTTATGGCCGTTGCTTCCGTACAGGTTAGTTAGTCACTCTTTTTATCATAATACCATTACAAAAGTGAATATTTTAAAATACAATTTCATTTGTTTATCTTTTAATGTATCATATTGTAGGTTTTGCGTGACTTTTGAAAAAGTTCTTAAAGTGATATAGTTTGTGCTGTTTACTCGAAATGATTGAATCTAACGAGAATGGATAACAAACTAATTTTAAATTTTAAACGCATGCAGATAAAAAATTACTGTTTTTTAATTAAAATTCACTATATTTTTTCAAATGTTTTATTGTAAAAAGCAATTGTTCATATGATATGTTATATATAAAATTTTACTTTGAAAACTTTTTACTTTTTGTTGTATGTAGATAATATTAATTTGTGGTAATATTCTATTAAATTTATTTAATACTCGTATTTATAAATTCAACTGTACTATATTACCTGTTATTCATCTTTAAATGAAGGTTTATTTGTTTACAGTAAACCATTTAACTTTAATAACAGTGGCAAACTATATAATAATGGGTATCGAACGTTTAATTATCATTACAATAGTACATGTTTTATACTTCTAGGTAGAAGAAGGAGATGGTTTGCCACCGGTGATCTGTTTGCCTTGTAATCAACGTTTAGACGCGTCTTATGACTTTAAGTGTCAAATACAAAATACTGATGAAGAACTCCGTCGAATTCTGAAATTAAAGTCCTCTTCCAATGACTCGGATAGCGGCGCTAGCATAGTCTCAGCAATAATTGCTGATGTGATATCTAATGTTATATCTTCTGAAAAGGAAAGCACAGAAAAGCAAGAAGAGTGTTCTATAAACTTTTGTTCTGATAACTTTTGTTTTACAAAGGATGATACCTCTTTTTGTTTAAGCACAGAAAGAAATTTATTTTCCTATGAGAAAGAAACGCAAAGTCAATTAAATGAGATAGAACAGAATAAAGCCGCAGAGAATGTGAATGTTTATAAGGATCTTTTAGCAGATGCTGTAGAACAAAGTAATTTAATGAAACGAGAATCATCCAAATTTAATGAAAAGAAGGGAGACAATAAAATAAATAATTCTGTAAAACCAGAAGAGTTATCTTTGTTGAATGAACGTGTAGAAACAAAGAAGGATACTTCAATTAATGATGATGTAAATAAAGTTGAAGTATCAGAAGATCAACCAATATTGGAAGAATCATCAAAAGCGGATAGTATACAAGATGATGAAGAAAAATCTCTTATATCACGCACAAATAGATTACGATGTACACAGTGTATTAAATCCTTCCATACGAAAATGGCATTGCGAAGGCATGCAATTGTACATAAACGAAAAACTAAATTAAGATATGTTTGTTACATTTGTGATAAACAGTATTCCACCCTTGCGAAGGTAAAAAATCATGTTGCAATTTGTCATAATACAGATAATAAGAAGGAAGATATTAATGATAGGAGAATTAGTTATGAACAAGAAAAAGAAATAACAAATGTACAGGATAAAAAAAATAAAAATATTCAAGTAAGTCTATATTAATTTTTTAGATGTTAATATGAAAATTTATTTTTTATTTTTCCTTGTTATTTTTCTGTAATTAGTTTGATAATAACACAACAGCACTTATTTTTTTTTATATTTTAGGACAAAAGAATAAAAATGCAAAAGAATGACGATTCCTTAAAAGAACAACGAAAAAATTTAAAATTTACTTGTAATGTGTGTTCAAAACAATTTACTTATCAAAAATCTTTTGTAACTCATGTTAGAAATCATCCAGAGTATAAATCCGAAGAAGCAGATGAAACGTATCAGTGCTCAGAAAAGGAAAGATCTGTAGAAAATGTTGAAGAAGAAGAAGATAATGAAGAGGAGGGAGATGAAGAAGATGAAGAAGATGAAAACCTTCCCGCTGAGAGTTTACAATGTACTCAATGTGGAAAGTTATTTGCAACGAAGAGAAATCTGAAGAGGCACCTCTCTACACATAGTGGATTAAAATACACATGTGCAACTTGTGGTAAAGGATTTTCAAGAATAGATAAACTAAAAGATCATGAACAATCAAAGCATAAGGGTCAAATATTCGATAGCTCTGATTTAGATGATAAAGATGACACAGACAGTATAAATAAGGGAAATTGTTTAGAAGGTAGAAAAAAGGTAAGTACCTTTTATAATATAAAATTGAAAGTAAAGAATTCTTATATTTAAAAATTACTATTATAAAAAATAAAAATATTTTTAGGATCGTCACAACAGACCACATAAGTGTGCAATGTGTCCCAAGTCCTTTGCACAGGCTCAGTCTCTAACGAATCACATGGAACGCCACACGCGTGTTAAAGAAACTCAAAAAAGGTTTCTTTGTGAGGTGTGCAGTAAATGTTTTGCTCAGAGTGGTTCACTTGTTGCACATATGCGTACACATACAGGAGTTAAACCCTATGTTTGCAATGTGTGCAGTAGAGCTTTCACGAAGAGCACTTACTTACAATTGCATCTCCGAACACACAGTGGAGAGAAACCTTATATTTGTCAGTATTGCAGTAGAGCCTTCGCGCGTGCAAACACATTGGCACGTCATATAACAATGCACACAGGAGAAGCAAAATATCATTGTCAAATTTGTACAAAATCATTTAGAAGACTGACCTCGTTAAATGAACACACATATACGCATACTGGTCAACGACCATATGCATGCAATATTTGTACAAAGAGATATAATAATGCCGGTTCCTTATATGCACACAGAAAAAAATGTAAGGCGAAACAACTATCTACTACTGCGTTTACAGTTTCTGTGGAAAATACTGGACCAGAACAGGATGTAAATGTGTCACAAGTTTTGATCTACTCGCAAAGAAAGCTGGTGGAAGATGCTACTGTTGGACAACCTACGCCTACGCCGCAATACATGATCGCGAATGTGCATAATCAAAAAAGTCTGGGACCGAATATTATTCAACCATTTGCGATGGAGGACCCAAATGTTTATACGGTTAATGCGAAACAATTTAAGAATCCCTATTATACAATTTATCCAAATATGTAAGATAATAACGTGTGCGGAAAATCGATTAAAAATGTCTTTTTTTAGAGATACCAGAGTACTTTTTATTTTACTTTTAAAAAATGATGAAAACAAATATGTAGGTGAAGACTAAATAATTTAAGGTAAGTACAGAATTGCTTCTAAATACGTATCCTTTTTTAAATAACCATTTATAGAATTTATGTTGCCATGTATTCAATATTAATGTAATTTTGCATTGACGTCGCTGTATAGTTTCGAATAATTTAAAAAACATGTAATTTAATTAATGTTAAAAACATTCATGAATTTATATCTTTGCTAAATAAGAAAAAATAATTTATATTCTTTATATGTTTCCTTACATCGATTTAACTTTAAAAATAGTATCACATTTACATATTTTAAATTTTTAGACTCACTTTCCTTTGTCAGAGGAAGTTGGTTCATCAACATGTGTATCGTTCGTTGGTTCCTATGAATCATCACCTAAATGTTTTAAATTAGGAGAGCTCCTTGTTTCAAGCAATATTTCTTCAACAGGTGATGCATCATCAGGCGTAGTTTTTTGCGGTCGCGTTTTCACAACTCGTGTCCATTGAATACCTTTTTTTGAGGGAACTTCTATAGATTTGTGTCTTCTCACCATATGTCGAGGGCGTTTCGCTTTCAACGGTAAGTTTACTTGTGGCAGTTGTAATTGACTACCCATCACTTCTGGGGATTGATCTGGAGTTACCTCTAACATGGATTTTCTACAGTCTTTTGAAATATATTCTTTCCATGGGTTGATACTACTATTGTATACTGTGGGTGTATCTATGATTTGTCTTGTAGGACGTGATAAGTTGGATGTGCTTGCTGAAGACTGTAAAATAATCTTGGGACTTTTTGTTAGTGCAAAGAATGGTTTCCGATTTTGATCGATCCGTAATGATGAATATTTTGTTGGAAATCTTCTCCCAGTTTCTGTTATCGTTTTTGATCGTTGTTCTGTTTGAGTAACACACGACGATGGTTCTCGAATATCAAATTGTAAAATTGTTTCAGAGTGACTTTGATCAACCGTTGTAGGTGTTTCAGGATACAAGTTGATCTGGCTGAAGCAAACGAATCTAACTTAATGAGACTTCATAGCTTAGTTTACTTTCATCTAATTCTAATATTGTTCTGTTAAAATTTACCGTCTTTCACACGTCGGACTATCATTACCATGAATGGTTAAACTCATATTTGATGTATATAATGACGTTCTCATTTCTTCTTCGTCTTCCTCTATAACATTTGGTAAAAACATTGTTTGCTTTTCTTCTGGAACTCTGTAAATACCAATTACCCGTAGAAGTATCATTTAAGAAAATTAATTATAGTATATTATCCAGTTTTAATAAAAAAAGTACTTTATATTTTAAATAGGTTTTAACAGTATAAAAGGTAGTTATAAATACTAACGTCATGTTAGCAACACTACCACGGTATGTTTTCTTTTTATGAACAGCCGCCGCTTCTGTGTATGGCAGAATTAGATTCTCAGCGTCAAAGTAAATATCTTTGACTAATGGTGGACATCGATTCATTAGAGTATCTACTCCAAGATATGATACCTACGATAAATACAAATATAAAATATCCAAAGAATTAGTATTACAGAAAAAAAAGAAATTTGTAGTCACTTTTGTATGGCGATCAATTATCCAATTCAACTCAAAGTCTTCGTCATCTTCTCCAAATGGATTGATTAACTGTTCTGCTACCTATTAAAATGAAATTCAATCTCGTAAATAAAGCACAGTTTTTTTCGTTTTGCATATTTTAGTAAAATAAAAAATACCTTTAATAACCCCATGAAGAAGAAAAATTGTAAAATCGTAAAAACTGGTACGTAAACGTCAATTTGCAGTTGGAATTGTTTCTCTTTACCTTCAATGTATTGACGAGCGAGTAATGCAACACCAAAGAAACTATAAGTTGCTAATGTTACTACTTGTGTATAAACTAATGGAATAGATATCCAATCGTAACTCCACAGGAGACCACATTTTGTACGAAATTCATTAAATTCCTATAATAACCATTCAATACTATAACCATTATAATTCAAATAATGCATATATTGCTTTCAACTTATATGATACCTCCATAATTAATTTTATTCCTTGAGGATCAAGAATTCTTTGATTTTCACGTGCTTCTTTTAGAAGATTAATAAACCATGTACAAGGGATCCAATATGTATTGAATTCTAAACTTGGTACTGCAAGAAATAATTCCAATTCTAGTGTTGTCATAAATCCTGTAACACATTCATGTCTCTATTAATGATCATATTATTAATTCAATAATATTAGAAAATTATTAACAGATGATTTTAATTGTTAATTAAGTTATTTATATTAAGAAACTTAATTGTCTTGATTGTTTTATTGTTTGTAAATTTAAAGTATATATTTCTTTTGTTTATAACATATTTTTACACATTTTTCACAACATAAAACTTACAATATAATAAAAATGCTTGAAAAAAATAATGTATACCCAATATGCCAGAAGAGTGTTCATCTTGATTAAAATTAACTTTCTATTGGTGTTTGATGACATTGTTCAGTTCTATTGTTGAGATTTTGTTATTATTAGCTCCATCAGTTTATCGCAAATTTTGCTTGTCACTTTAACTTTCTTCAATGTAAGCAAACATAAATATATTTTTGTTCTTCAATACGTGCTATGAGTTAAAATTAGTATGCTAATGTTAAAAA